CAATCAGACTATCGACTCGAAGCAGAAGGAAGACCAGATAGGCGACTCGAAACAGAAAGACCACAATCAGACTATCGACTCGAAGCAGAAGACAAACCAGACAGGCGCCCCGAAGAAGAACGGACTCACCACGAAGAACATGAATCCGAAGAAAAGAAGGTATCCGATGAGCCTGGCAGACAGGCCCCACTGGGTACGAACTTTCCCCCGGCAGTGAAAGGGGGGGAAGTACACATTTACGAAGACCCTATCATTACATCCGAGAAAGAAGAAGAGCCTATCCATACCCACCAACATGTATCCAATAAAGGAGACGACGAGCCCATTCCTAACCCCATTGTTACGCCTCAGCATGTATCCAATAACAGCGCTTTGGCAGAGCTATCTATAAATGAATCAGTTCATCGTGATAGTAAGCCAGCTGTGCCAACCTTGCCTTCGTACCGTGGACGCCAATCGATTGGGGCGACAGATTCGACAGCTAGCTCTGAATATCGTCGCCGGAAGAATGATCAGGCCGACCGCAAAAGAAGCATCAGCCCCCGATCGAAAGACCCAGTCAAAGCACGAGAAATGCTTGAGAAGGGCATTCAGAAGATTCGGTCCAAGAATATGGACATCCTGGGGTATCGGAAGTTGCAAAGCCTGATCGAATATCACGACTCTATCTTTATCCATGAAGGCAAGTATGACGAGATGCTGCTGGTTCTGCTCGAAGAACTGGAGAGTCCCCCGGATGAGAAGCGACAACGCCTCGGTCGCCCGCTGGACTTGAAAACCCAAGTGCTTCTGACGATTCGCTTCATGCTTGCACACAAGAAGCACTTTAGTTCATCTTACTATCCCAGGGCCATCACAGCTCTCATCGCTGCTAGGAATTATTACGACTCATCAAGCCACATCATCAACGGATTGAATGAGACGGCCGAAGAGATTCTTACACAGTGTGAGCCTGAAGGTGTTATCGACGCCGTAACCGACCTAGTATCGACCGAAGATCCGGAAACAGGCGATCGGGCGGTCACTATGGGCTTTTCTGTTATGACAGAAATCTTGAAGGGGATGAACAGCAATGCAATTCGTCTTTCCTGTCGCCTGCTGGAGAAAGTTGGGTCACTAGCTGGCAAGAGTCTGACAGCCCGGCAGCCGGATGTCAGGCGTCAAGCAACACAGCTGTGCGTACAACTGCACACGATGGCCGATAACGATGATCACTTCTGGCAGGTTGTTGGACGGCCTCGCGAGAACTCACGCAACCTGCTGACATACTACATTGCGAGAAAGTGATTTTCTGCTTTCAGAAAGATGAAGAGCCGGTATCATTACTTTCGACTCATTGTTTCTTTAGTCCTGTATTCCAATTGATACCACTGTGTTTTATGTTGAGCGCCACAAAGGCACAAAACTTGTTGTATTACTAGATAATTCCATCCTGAATGTAATGGATACCCACTGATCCACTGTGCATTGAGCCGAGCGCGACAAGACAAAACCGTGTGTCGTGCCCAAGTACAGCAGTGCACAATGACCCGGGCAATTTGTAGGATAATAAGATGTTTGAAAGTGTGGGATGCATCCTTGATTTCTCTCTCTTTAGTAGCAACGGCCAGCCTTATGATTTGCTACGAGCCTGCCTGCCAGGTTGATTCGACTGGAGAGCCCGGCTGCAACAAGTGGCCAATTGTCCTCCACCGCTCTTTCAACCTCCTCTTCCTGAGCTCTGTGGGCGCAGCCTAGGAAAGGAACTACGTCTGGAGGAACATTAGGCGACAGGCGACAGAGGCGTCCTCGAAGCTCCAGGAGTGGAAATTGTAGATAGAGAGAGGGAGTGGATGGGACGAGGACGAGAGAGCCGCTATCGACCAAAATGCTCGGCGCAAAACTGTTGGCAGCAGCTGATCTGCCTTGCGCACAGTGGTCAGCAACACGAGACCCCTTTGAGCAATGAGGGTGAGCACAGGGGAGTGGCTAGCACCTTTGCGAATGTAGACGGTAGCATCGATATACTGGGAGAGAGGAATGATCATGGTTGAGCCGATAGTGGTGGAGGAATGAGGGTCAGGTCTCTCAATGAGCAGGAAAAAAGGGCATTGTGCCCCCCGATAGGTAGGCTGTGATCCAGTCTGAGCATCCAAGCTATGACAAGCTTGCTCAAGCTCTGCTAGAGATGAGAGAACGGTGTGGTATTGGAACGGGAAACATGCGGACAGAAGGGCTGTGGCTAGAAACTACAAGAGAGAAGGAGTGAAAGACATTCTTACTACGTATAGACAGAGATGTAGGAAAGACCATCTCCTCTATAGATACTCACCCATACATGTACTGTACCCGAGATTCACTGCAGACTGATGTATGGAGTTTTGATGTTTTGATATCGATTGGTATAGCACAGCTGTGATCGTTCACCCTGTTGATTCCCGAGACAAATTAAGGCTGCGTGGGTCAGGGCTTATTTTTGGATTTCTAAAAGGCAACCCCGAAGTCTGGGACGGAGTGGGGGAGATTTGAGACCGACTCGAGCAGGTCTGATTCATGAGTTCCAAGTTACTGGTAGCCTGGGTTCAGTACATGGAAGTGGGAGTGGCTGAGTATGGAAGTGCCTTATGAGTTCCAATTTAACACGACTAGTATTTCGGTACCTGGTTTGGAATGAGACAATCACCGTCTATTACTATACATAGATAGATCAACTATCCAATGGCTGTTGGTTGGTTGGTTTCGTTGGTTGACTGCCTTTGGTAGCCTCAAATGTCGAATGTAGGTACCGTATACATGTACGAAGTATACCGTACTGTATTGTTGTACGAGGATGGTCTCGTATCCTGAGACAAGACAGGGAGACCTACCAAACTGATCAAGTCTGTAGACTATTCACTGCTTAACACCTGGGTTCTACCTGTACTCATTCACCTCAATCAAGATGTAAATTGACAATGCAACCATGCAGTCAGTCGAAAGTAGGTCAGTGGGCTAATTGGGAAAATCTGGGGACACGGGCGTGAGTTGTCTATCTGAAACGGGTGGTGTGTTTCAATCGCGGCCTCAAACTCTCTTGCTCTCTCCCACTCCCCTGTATGTACTCGTACTTACCACTCACTCACTCCCTCACTCCCTTCTTCTCTTACTCGCTCTCTCCTTCTCTTGTTTTCCTCCTCAACTTAACCTCTCCTCACAATCACTAGCACATTCCGCTGCTTATTTCCCTCCGACTCTTCTCCCTTTGACTCGATCACCTCCCCTCTGTTTCGTCCTGACGCATTGAAACATCCGGGTGGTTGTTAAGCGTCAGCCAGGCTGCCCCGGATATTCAGCTCTGCGGCCCCCCCTGCCTACCTGCTTGCTGCTGCTGCTGCTGCTGCTGCTGC